ATATAGCGTATTAACCCTTTGCACTTGATTTATTTTCAATGTTGTTGGGTGTAAACTTGTATTTATTTTTAGGGAAATGAGTTAAAGTAATGTACAGCGGTAGAATGCAACGTTTTATATTTATGTTACTTATTATTATTATTATTATAAGATTTAATTTTTATAATCTTTTAAGGTATGATACTTTTTAAAATACCACAATTAAAGTATAACAAATTTGTATTGACATCTCAAGCATGACATACGAGTGCGAAGGGAATTACCACACTAGAATTACCGAGCAATTAATACGATTAATATGTAATCCCTATAAAAATTGTAGGAATACATTATTTTCAGTTTCTTCAGACCTTCATTATAGTATTCAAATGAAATTATTTATTTTCAAGATCATTTCGAATATTCAATACTTTTAAGATATCAATAATTGCGAAACAAAAAATCGAAACCAGTCATTTTGACTGGTACTGTAGTTCTAGTGTTAACTGTTCACGCGATCCTGATTCCTTTTTATCGGCGCTCGTGCGACGAAGGTTCGGTGCCTTCGTCCGTGCAACGGTTCGTGACAGGAAGCAACCGATACTCCTGATCAATGACCAGTGATCATGGGTAGGAAGCAGGAAAATAATACCTTTTCGTTCGCGCGAGAAGCGATTGGCTCCGGAGCCCAGTTTAAACCACAGATATTCACGGATGAAGGAGACCTTCGGTCGTGACATTAATAGTGATATTCAGCTGTATTACATAAAGTGACAGATATCTTCAGCAACGCCCCGAATCTGCTGACCTACATTCTTCGTGCATAATCTCTGACAACTTAGATTTTTGTACAAACAATTTAATCCTTTACTTAACACGTTGAATGCCATGGAGGTCACCGATGACCCCCAACCAAATCGAATTACTTTCATTCAATATGAAACTACGTTCATTTAATTGAAAGACGATTATTTGACAACATTTCTATAGTATAAAAAATGCTACCAAATGAGGTGACATGGATCAAGATCAGTGTGCAATTATAATAACGCAATTCAATCAAATGATTTAATATTAGATTTTTCCCTTTTTGGGCATTTTGCTCTATGAAATCGTGCAGCGTTCAACAATTGAAAAATCGATTGCTTGTGACAGAAAAAATATTCTATTTAATAGATTGGAATGACCACTGGAATCGTAATGTCAATTTGTGTATAATGTGCAAACATAAATAAGTCAGTTCATTGTAATACTATTAATTTATTTTATTAATTATATAACCGAGTAAAATTAAATGGAATAAGATCAGGAAATACTATAGTAAACTGATTTATTATGTTTATGCATCCACAGAGTTGGCATCACTTTTTTGTCAACTGACTATATTTTTGTTAAAAATAGGAGAAACTTTTCATAGATTTTATTTCTGAAAATATATAGCAAATTGAAGTTTTATTAGATGTATGAGTTTTTTATTTCATGCTAAATAAATGTTAGTGCTATTCAGAATAATGAATTAGGCTATTAATTGGTATGTTTAATATACTTAATGGAATAAAATAAAATCAACTAAATTATATTTAATATATTCTATGATAATAACATAGTATTCTGTTATTTCCTATACATTTATTTTAAACTAATTATTTATTAAAGTTATCGTTTGTTTTTAATCAAACGAAGCTGTTAAGAAATGAAGTGAATTTCTCTTCTCCATAAACTTCTGTAAAAAATTTCAATTAGCGTCGATATACGTTGTCTAACAGTCAAATAGAAATAAAATTAAGGCATTACGCTGATAAAGAAGTTACTTAGATAATCAAATCGAATCAAATAAAATATACAACATTTTCTACTTGAGATTTTATATTAACAATCAAGTTTTTATAAATATACGCATTGCATAAAGTACTTGAAACAAGAAAATGATGCATAGGAATGGAAAAAAGGAAGCTGGATAGTTGGGTAACTAACATTGTATTATTATTTAGAAGATTTTAAACATATATCCAACCCCTGTATACATTGCATAAAATGGATTGAATTTATGTATCACATAGATTAAGAATATAAATAAAAAAAATATCTGCACAGCACATACGTAAAATTGACAAATGTTACATGAAGATAGTATAAAGTATCTAGTATCAAAATTTTGTTTAGTTAATATTAATATTCATATATACAATTTGTTTCTTCGCACATTCAATATAGTAATGAGTAAAAATCTTCTTGTACTATAACGATCCGCCAATAAATGCATGCGTGAGGCAGGTCAGTGCGAGGGTGGACAGTGATGCATCGTGCGAGAAATAGATGCATATCTATTCACGTTCAACAGCTGCTAAAGTTTTAATTATTAATCATTTAAATAAGACAAACATTTAAAACTTTCGTCTATTCAATATAAATAGGAGACAGATTATTACAGGTCAGAATGTACGCTGTAATTTTTTTGTAGGTCCTGAGACTAGACAATCTATCATTTGGTTAAGCGATGTATCTAGAGAAAATTACCATATCCTACTTACATGAATACGAAATTAAGAAAACCAGCAATTAATTTTCAAACAATGTAACGCGTGATTAAGGTTCCCGAAAAAGATAAAGGATCTACCCATTTAAAATCACTAAATTACGCGATTGACTAATTTGCATTTCGATCGAAGGAATAAATAATTTGCGAGAGTACGATCATAATTACCAGCCTATTTTCAAGCAAGTTCAAAGTCGTTTCTCAAGTAGACAATGCAGCTCCGTCGACTTCCTCTGAGAAATTCCTCGTTACACAACAACAAGTTGTTCGCAGGAGGTTCGTTTCTAAATGAGATAACCCTGAAGGATTTATTGGACGTTCTATACGATGGAAAAAAATGAGGAAGTATCTCAATCCGGGTGACCCAGTTCGCGCTCTTGAATTTCAGAATAGACGTTCTCTCGTTCTCCAAGGCTCTATTGTGGCGAGACGAACACTACCACCGAGTCTGGTGGCTTCACGACCTCTACTGTCAAAGTTGCATCAGCGAGATTCGTTATTCCCTGACAAAAGTGCAAAGAAGTAAACGTTTTTGAAATGACATTTTCTTTATTTAAACAATTTCAATTTTTATTAAGATTCTAATGCGTAGTGAGTGTACATTCTTTAACTTAGTTACTTACTAATAAATTTTGTCGTAACATATTACCAAGTCTCACAAAATGATAACTGATATAATTACAAGAACAACAATAATTGTTGGATTATAATGATAGGTTACAGCGTTCGTAAAACAAATGTAGGATGCTACAAATAGCTGTTGTAGGATTATAAAGTGTTTATTACTCACTTGATAAGGGGAGATAGCAATTTTTGAAATCATGTGATGCGTATCTTGCAAATAGAAGTGTTTTAATAATTTTGTAAATAGTCATGCTAATAAGAATGTTTCAAATGAATATCATATCAAATAAACTGAGTTATAAAGTTTATTATTCAATTTCATTTATTCTAGATAGTTTTTTAAATTGTCAAGTCTGAAATATAATAATATAGAAATAATATAGAAATGATAAGATATTAAATAAAACCACATGAGCGATTAAAGACTTTTTTAAAGAAATAATCAATTATAGCAGTACTAATTTATAAAAATTAATAAATAAAGTTTTCATGTTACACCTTGATAAGTGTTATCAATGGAATGACGGTATTACAGTTGTTTACTGCGCGATATGAAACAACCTTGGCGAAACATAACTTTCATAAAACCTGCTTTTTTCCTAGGGCATGAATTTCATTCGAGAAGGTTGAAAAAAAATTGAAATTATGGCAAAATATGATCATATTATTAAATTTAATGTAAGACCCAATAGATTTACACAGATAAGTCAATTTATAAATCAATATTCTTAAGGACCTTAAATAAGTATTACACAATTTTTATACTTATAATTTCGGATTTTACAGTAGAGTTACACGCAGCAATCCGCGATCTTCTCATAAGTAGTAGACAATTCAATGAAAAACACAATATATAACATAATATAACACAAAATACATTCATACATTTTTTGTTTCTTATCGTTATCTGACCATTAGATTTTCCGATTAGACTGTATTAAGTTCATATGTGTTATTATATTTTCATTTGTTGAAATTTAATTTAATTTTACTTTGGTAAATTCTATAGTACTCTGTATTATAAAACTATTTTCTTCTATAATTGAATTTTTTTACACAGAAATAGTTTTAGTATATTTTTGCAATACAAAATCAAAGTACTTGATTTCTCGCTTCAAAGTATAAACATAAAAATATATTATTTACGAAAATTTTATTTCAAATATTTTTCCGTCAGTATACCCGATAAAAAATATTGAAACTTCGCAAGTTTATAGAGGTTCTCATTTGAAATTATAGACAGTTTCTTATTCCATTTATAAATTTCTGAAGGTGAAACACCCACTGAAGGAGTTTATGTATTTTGTACCTTTAAAGGTACTTCAATAACCATAGTAAATATAAAAGAATTATTGCAACTAATATTTTATACCTTTTAATGTTCTACACTACTACAGATTTTAAACAAAGACGACAAAAGGAAGTTCTTTTCTGAAAACAATATATTTTTCGCAATTTTATTAGTCAGTTCCATATAACAATAATCCAGTTCAATGTTCATATCAACAATTGTTCTGCACGTGTCTTCATCCCAAATAAAAAAACCAAAGCTGCACCAAAAATCGTGTCTATTTCCATGAAAATTCCACACAAATGCACAAAATGGAAAAAATCTCGTAGTTCTCGGATTACCGGCGTTCCCTCGCGAGGGACCAACTCAGATAAAGAGAGCAAACTGAAAGCTGCGCGAATGAAAGGAACGAAAAGGAGAAGATTTTGAGAAACACTGCGTATCTGTGCCGAGCGCCACGCGACCAGGTCGTCCGGTCGGGCTGGATGCCGGGTGTTGTTGAAATCAACGTGGTGGGGTTCCTTCGACGACCACAACCGGAGCCTTATGCCTTCAGTCGACTCTCGGCTCTCACTGCGACTCGAGCTGGCAGAGATTCCGTTAATTAAGCATCGACCGAGCCGAAACGGTGGTTGCACAACAGGTGGACCGCAAACGCGTCGACAGGCTCCCTCCAAAACCGTACGTGCGTCCGAGATCGTGTCACCGAATCCGAGAGATCGCTCCAAAACGTTTACCCCCATCGATCAGGATCATTCCAATCGAACGGATGTATCGAAAGGCCGATCGTTATTTCGAACAACGCTGAAAAACGAGACGTGTACCAAGGATCAAGGATCAAAGAGGATCAAAAGAGACTCGAGCAACGTTCATCCGGACAAAGAGGATTGTTCGAGAACCGTGAGTGTGAACCGCGTCGAGTGCTCGGCCAGTCGTGTCACGGTCGATCCAGAGATCGATCCAACCAGTTCCTTTTACCGGTCGATCACCTCGATCCCGCGTCGGAGTCCCGCGGCGCGAGAGTGCACATCCGCGTCGTCGGGTCTTAATTAGTACGTGGGTGTCGTGATAGATTGGCGGCTGGACAAGAGAGACCGTCCGAAGGACAGGACAGGACAGGACGGAAAAAGAAGACTGGCGCGAAGAGATGCTGAAAGCGGGAGGACCGCGTGTTAGTGAACGCGAAGAGACCATCAGGGAATAAAAGGGACGAGGCGAGGGTTGGTTAGCCGGAACGGTAGAGGGTGGTGGGGCGGTTAAATAGATGCAGGAATCTCTACGCGGCGCCATGCTGGTGTAGCGGCGAGAAAAAATATTCGGTTTCATCGGTGTGCGTGGCCGCGTGTGCATGGAATCCCAGGACCGTATCGGTCTCCGCACGTTTGTTACGGGTCCGAGGACCTGCCGCGCCGGTAGATTGGATTAATCGGTGATTAAATCGCGCTGTGAACGTTCGACTTTGATTTGTTCGGGACTGTTGTTCCGTGAACATTTCGCTGAAGGATTTCTACGCGAATCGGGATTTGTATTCTCGAAGTGAAAGGCGCGTAACACGTAAACGCCGCAACTTGTAACTGCACGATCGATGATCAATTAAGTGAGTCTCTCAAGATAATTGCGAAGAGGATCGTGGAAACATGTTGTGCGGCACGTTCAGAAAGAAGAGAAGGCAGAACGGGGATGAGTATCGATTGGTCAGATCGAACACGATGCCGAGGATCCTGGCGGGAAAGGAAGGCAGTCTGGTTACTGTCCGAAGGACGAAATCCTCGAGGGTGGCGGCTCGTTCCTCGCATCTCAAAGATCTTCTGCACACGGTAAGCCGTAAATCCGTTCGATCCTAACGCGATCCTACGATCCGCTTGTGAACGCGGCGTGGTTCCGGGACCGTTTTATCGGCGGTAAAATCGACCTCGAGACTCTCGCTCGATGGAAGGACACTGTGTCTGCCGCGGCAGAAATATGGCTGCCCTGTTCCAGCTCCTTTATGCTTCTTTGTTCTGGAATGATATTTGTTGTTCTTGGGAATGGTTTGATGCGTCCTATTATGTATTTAGATTGAAATTTACACACTGATCTTGGTTAATTGGAAATTGTTCAATATTTATGAGCTTGAGAAATCATTAAATGCACTGATGAATCATCAGCTACTTTTTGTATGTTAGCATTCATTTCTGAGAGGATGAAGGTTATATTAAGATGGAATTAACACGTTGCTTTCACTAAATGAAAATTAGGTGATAGTACATTTTTAGTTCTACTAAAATCTGTATGAAGACTAAATGTATACACGTAACATATATGAAATTTTACTTTTGAAAGGTTTCTGGTAGCAATCAGAATGAAGAAACATATATTTTATTCAGTTAAGATTTATAATATTATTAGTATGTAATTCAATGGCTTTTATTTTGTTTCAAATTGATGCTAGGAAGATAAAGTATATTTAGAAGTTATTGAAAATAAAATAGTTATTTCAATGAAGCAAATATCTGAAAAAAACTTGAAGGGTATAAATTTTATTTCTTTATATTTGCCTAAGTGAATTAAATTGCAAATGATTTATTTGCCAAAACCTCAATAGATATAAAAGTTTATTATTTAATCTTTCGTGTGTTTATCACATTTAAAAATACGTGAGTCCTATGAATTTCTATTGAAATTAATTAATACATTACGAAATGTAAACTTCACTTTATCATTCTATTTATTTATTTATACATAATTTTAAATATTATACAATATTTATTGAAGAAAAATGAAAATTGAAACCACTTTCGTCAAATGTTTCTTTCCTTTTTTTAATTCGTCGCTGTATGCAGATACATAGATATTTATCAGCTTTCGTTCAAAACAATCTGTATCCAATTTCTTGTTTAACTGCTCCTAAATTCTTGAACACATATATTAATTATTAAATCGACACAGTATAACACAGTCAGAAAATACATCTTTGTTTTCTAATATCTTACTATATAACATATCGCTTTATTTATTTTTCAACTGTCCCCATTTTACATTTATAGTTACAAACTCGTTCCACTGTTTTCCTCTGTATACAATAGGTCCCCTATTTTAAATTATCATGACCATCTTCTACATCAAGCCCAAAACTACCGAATATTTAACATGATTAATATATAATTCTTACACAAATCACAAGAACAACTTTCTTCAAATTTCTGCTAATCTACATAACATCTAGATAAAACTATCAATTTTTTCAATAATTCTAACTATATAACCCTTTTATGCTCTTAGTAACTACAAAACAAAAAAACCAATACCAGTTAGTTTGACCGGTAAGGTAATTCTAGTGCTATGCATATTACAATTAAAATATTTCATATTTCCTACGTTCAATTATTCGCACACACCGGCAGCGGCCATTAGAAAATCGAGCGTTCCACTGAACTTAGAAACTTTCCCATCGGAATGTACAGGTCTCCCTATTAATTCAGACAGCGATCTGCTCCTACCGCGTTCGATTCTTAGAACAAACGTTCTGGTGCGCCAGCGAAATGAACCGACCGGGAAATTTCGAAGAAGCGGTATCGCGGCATTTCACCAACGTTTTGCTTGGTATTCATGTCGGACTGACAATAAGGGGCCCCGGCATCGGCCAGTCGATTGCTTCTCAAAGGTCCCGGACCGTCTCGAATCTACATACATGAATGCGAATGCGTCATGCCGTTTTACATATGTATGCACGCGACGATATAGTCTCGGTACCTATGTACGTACGCGTTCTGTTGCATAATTTACGACATTGTACACAGACACGCTCGGCCGCGCAAACGACGCGCACTGTCCGGTTTCAAGTGGAATCGATTTGTTTTGGCAGCGCGGATGGAAGAGGGCGATCGTGAAACGATTCGGAGCGATTTGGGAGGCTCGAGCCCGATCCTAATCGCCTGATTCCTGTCGTTAGGTTGTCCCAACCCCTTCCACGGAGAATTGTTAACCTTCGTTTCCGGCTGAATCGCGTTGGTTGCGTTTCCGAGGATTAGATTAACCCGTTACGAACACGCGCAGATTTCGCGGCGCGTTTTGGTTAAATTCTCGTACACGGTTTGAGGATGGATTTGAATGCGGAGTTCAATTCAATTTAAGGATTTCGAATTCAATCGAGATTCGAGGAATTAGGGGATGCAATCTGCTACACGCGCGAACGAATGTTAGTAAGTTATTAGAATGTTGCTTTGTTTATCTTTGTTACGTGTTTTATTGTGTTTGATATTAATAATGGCACTACTGGGTATTTTAAGTAATTTATTTAATTTAATAATTATTCTATTGCGTGAAAAATATTAATTATACGATAATTTTGTGTGTGAATAATTTTATGATTTCAATAATTGTGTATGTATGTGTATAAAATGAAGAAGTTGAAGCTAGTCATTTGATAAGTATGGCAATTCTAGGGATAAATACGTTAATGAGCAAGATTTAGTATGACTGTGCACGTTCTTGGAAACGTAAATTTTTGTCAATTATTTAATAACAAGGACGATTCTGTAGAGATGTGCTTTTTGTACTGAATGTCCTGAAATGGTAAAACTATAGTTTCATTGTGCAAGTATTTTTTAACCAATCAATCGTACTTTATGAATTGTTAAAACATATTCGTCTGGAAAATAGAAGAAAATCAATATACATTAGAATGATCATTAATAACATTCCTGATAAATTATAGATATATTTGATATGCTTCAAACGTATATTTCTAAGTTCGCCACTAGAATAACACAAGATTCTTCCAAATATACGGATAATGTTAACTCATCTTTTGTCCATAGACAAACAATAAAAGTGAAAATTCATGCTTTCAAGAATTTGCATGTACCTATTACTTATATATTTCTCCTTAATTATAACTAAAAACTAAAACTTATAATTATTATCAATGTAAAATCTACTCCAAGTTAGTATTGATTGTTACCATTAGTATTTATCAGACATAAATTATCACCTCTACTTAAAAAATTTGGAACTTAATAATAATGTTTCACTCTTCAAACAAACACTCCAAAAAAACTCTATTTAAAATCATTTAATCTTTCGACAACTATAATCACCCAGTCAATCCCAAGATACCATGAACTACTATAATCACTGTACCGTTAGCGCACAACATTTTTGTCTATATTCAAAACTATTTCTTCCACACTCGACATTCACAATAATGTATTAATTTACCACAATAATAACAAAACGTATAATATCATAAACAGATCAAAGTATCATTTCCAGAAAAACACCAAAACAACCGATAAAATAATATTTCCCTGTAAAAACAATTATTATTAATCACTTCCACCAACATACAAATCATAATAACTTCACGACCATCATCACGAATCGTCTTTAACTTTTCATAACTCTGCGAGAAACCACGAGAAGACGAAAGTGTAGAGGAGGGGCAGGAATTCGTGTGTCTTCCAAGAAGCTCCGTGAATCCTTGGTTACACGATCGTTCGGGGGCAAAATACAAAGTTGGCTTTGGTATCGATCGGAGGGATCGAGGTATCGGTGGGGTCCGGTCACGATCACCTCTCGGACGCCGGGTCCCACCGGTTCGGACGTAGTTGCCGTGGCCGTCGTTGTCTTCCCGAAAGTCCCGGTGTTTCTTTTTCGGTCTAAATCCGGCCACGGAGGCGCCTGTAGGCGCTCGCGCTCGCAGAAGTCGCCATGAGATACTCCTGAGAACAGGAGGGATAAGGACAGACACCAAGAGAACGGGACGAGGTGGAAAGGAGTGAGGGGGAGAGAGAGAAAGACCAAAAGGAGGTTGAGCCACCTTCACGAGAAGTTCGCCTTATAAGGCGTCCTCGGGTGGGCAGCGTCCATTAGAAATCCTTTGTCGTCCCGACCTCTTTTTCCCGGCAGATTCTCGAGGGAGGGAGGGCGGCAGGGGGTTGATGGTTCGTTCGCCGCCTAGAATTCGTGTGTTACCATCGAGAAAACGCGCCCCCGTTCTCCATCTGGCCGCGGAAAGAAAGGAAGAAAGAAGTTTTTAGAATAATGAGAAAGTGAGGGTTTTTGTCCACTTGAGAGAATTACCGGCGGAGAACAACGACGGATTCGACGTTGGAGCTGGGCCACGCTAGAATCAGTCTTTTAACGCCGCGAAAGTACGGATTCTTTACGAGATGAATCTTTTCACGAGGAGGATTCTTTGGCCGGCTTCCGTGGAATCGTCCAGGTGGTCCTACATCGACTGGAGAAGTATAGTCTTCGGTTGCATTTCGATTTCGTTTGCGATTTGTTGGAGGCGGGCGTCAAGTTGTTCTATTCTGTTGGTGTTAAATGGAATTTATTATTATACTATGTATTTTGTAATGTTATTTGGGTAGATTGAGTAGTGAGACGTATTGAATGGAAAAAAGTGTTATTTACAATGGTATATTTTGGTACTCACGGGACTATTATTTATAAATTGCATTTAATATGTGGTTTATATTGAAATAATTCGAATAGGAGTAGAATAAATAAATTGATTATTGAAGAATTGTATTAGAAAACAAAAGTAATATTAATGTTTGTGGATGAACGTAAGTGAATCAATTTGAAGACGGTGATTATGCTACGTAAAGTAACAAATAAGTTAGAATTAAAAAATATATTACAACAGGAATAGAACGATACCACCAAAGAATTTTGTAGAGAGTTAAATCGATCCCATACCTTTTACGAGCTATTGGAAATAATCCTGGAAAATATTGAAATACCGGTTAAATTCCTTTCAACTGTTGTTCATAATTAGATACGCACGATTTTTAGCGACGATTTTAGTGCGTTATTTTCAAATCGATTC